GAATTGAAAACTGCTACTTCCTTTTAACGCTGCATGTGTACTACGTAGCTAACGGAAGGAGCAATAGGTGTTGATCACGTATTTATACATTGTAGTTAAGGGCTGAAGAAGATATATGCAACTCCTCTTTTATAAATTATGCTGATGAATTTTGCTATTTATATACTCATTTCGAACAACGCTGCTTGTATCTATGTCCTTCCAGTATAGGCCCGGCATGGCCAGGTGGTTAAGGCACTCGAATCGCGGGTTCGAATCCCTTTCACACCAAACATGCTCGCCCTTTCAGCCGTGGGGGCGTTATAATGTTACGGTCAATCCCACTATTCGTTGGTAAAAGAGTAGCCCAAGAGTTGGCAGTGGGTGGTGATGACTAGCTGCCTTCCTTCTAGTCTTACACTGCTAAATTAGGGACGGCTAGCGCAGATAGCCCTCGTGTAGCTTTGCGCGAAATTCAAAAACAAACAAACCTTCGAGTATAGTTTGACGTCATTAAACTTCTTTAATGTAGATTCGATGACGAGGAACTCACTTTGAGACTATTAATGGTTGGAGACGGCTTGAATGGGTAATGAAGAAAAACTTTAATATAAGTTTAACATAACAGCAAATGTACAACGTTTCGACAAAGTTTTGTCATCATGATTCTTCATTACCCATTCAAGTCGTCTCCAACCGTTATCTTTAATGTAGGCAGTTAGATCAGTAAACATGTCTTGCTCTGCAAATGCTTTTGACTGTTCATCTTTACAATAATCATTTTCCTCCTGTATCTCTTTTTGTTGTTGTTGCTGCTGCTGCTGTTATTCTTTAAATAGAGTCCCCCGGTGGGTCAGCGGTAAGTTTACAGACTTACAACGCAAAAATACGGGGTTCGATTACCCGCGATGGACACGGCAGATAACCAAATGTGGCTTTGCCCTAAAATACACACTCACACGTGAAAGGATAAAGTTTTTCTGAATCTTAAGTACATATATATATATGTATATTTAAATGTTGGAAAAGGATGTTTATAAAATACATTAACTTATATAAGTATTGTACAAACCTGGTATAGGTGATGTTGCTGCATTTTTATCACTTTTTACAATTAACATAACTAAATATACCTCAAAAATGACGATCTGTCTTATAATTCCTCACACTATAACTTGATGTTATTATGTGTGGCGTTCCTTTTGCTGCGATTCTTTAGGCCTGATTTTCATAGCTTATATAACTATAATCATCATAGTTTTGGAAATGGTTTTATACACTTTCCTTCCAGATGATGTTAAATATATGAAACCTTTTGGTTTTCTTAGTATATTTGTAATTAAATGAATGGAATGCATTGCTGAATTATCGCACATATTCTTTTGATTTTTAATATTATTTGGCAGTATATTACCATTAGGTCTTCCAGGCTAAGGTCCGAAAACACCGCCAGTTGCGAGAGTATTCAACTAATATTCGACACAAGGAAGAGTAGAAATAGAATTTTTTTTGTAGTTTGCTTGTTACTCATAGTTACGAATATCTGTAGTTATTATTGTTGAATTCTAACAGCTCTTCTGGTGGAGGAAGTTATTACATAATTAGTAACGGACATAGTTGTTTGAATTTTGATTATTTTTGTGGTATATATATTTTAGTCTAGCTACATATGTATAGGTAATTCAATGCTAATAGCGTAATAAAAAACAAACGTTGCTTCATTTGTCCTGCTTTAAATGCTAAAAAGTATTTTGTATGGGCAGTTACTTTTCGTAAATGTGATTTGCCTTCTTATTTATATTAAATGTAGCTTTAAATGTGTTGGTCAAACTTCTAATCCATTACATTCACGTATGATTATGTTAATACTAAAAACTGAAACATTTTAAGATTAATACGTTTGAAAATTAGTTACTGATATCCTGGAAGTTATTGAATCAGAAGAAGGCTGATTTCAAAAGGAAAAATTATGATATTATAAAATTAAAAACTATTTGTTGGACAGTTTGAGTTTTCCCAGTTGGTAAGTTTACGGAGTTACAACGTTAAAATCTGGGAAAATATGTATTAATTTGCGAGGGAACCAGAGGTGTACACCGATCTCTAATTGGATAACCTTCAAAGAAATGATAATATATAATTTTACATTTAAATATAATGGTAATCAACTTTCCTTTCGTTTGCTTGTTGTTAAGCGCAAAGAGGGTATTGCAAGCCGTTTTTAACGTTATACAGATTTAACGCTGAACCACTTTTGACAATCAGTTATAAAATAATATTCATAAACACGTTTTCGCTCGAAATTTTGGTGTTATTAAAGATGATTATATTATATAACTGAATTATATTACTGGATAATCTTAAGTTTTTCTTACAACAGGAATTAATGTCCTCAATAAGGTTTAAATAGAGCAGGTTGAACTTGGATATACTGTTTTCTTTTTGTACAAATCGTTATTAATGAAATTAATTCTACAAAAACCTTTCAATTAGATAAAGACATTAAAGAAAACATTATTAATTCAATCTTAAAACCTTAATTTTTTTATCTTAAAACAAATCCTGATTTAGAATTACTCCTTTTTAAACGCTATTCCTAAATTGCATAAATCTGCTATAAAATTTGTCTAATTCTGTTACAATTGTAGCTTGTCAAACTGTAGTTTTGTTAAATAAAATACGTAAAGAATGACTGCATAAAATTAAAGAAAATATTCGTGATAAGCATAACGAATTATAAATGATAATGAGATTGTTTTGCATAAATTGGAAAGTTTATAATTTACACCAGTAGTTCTACAGTTTAAACTCGTGATTTCAATACTTTATACACTAAAATTTATTTAATGATCTTATTCTTGTTTTAAATACTCTGGTTGATAAATTTATCTTTTACACTGAATGACAGAACTTTCACTTCTACAAACATTAAAGATTTCATAAGTTTCAGTATTTATATTAAATATATTGTTTACGTCTCGCATTTTTGAAACACATTATTTCAATTTTGAATATAAAATTTCTAATGGTTCTTGAAATTAATACTTTTCACAAAATAATTTTATTTTTCAATTTTTGGACTTTCGTTTTAGTAAAATCCTTTTTACTTTAACCAAAAAATATTAATGTATTGGAGTTATTCAAGTTTCGCAATAAAGATAATTGTTTTTTTTATTCAATTGTTTGTTTGTTGTTAAGCATAAAGTTACATAATGGGCTATTTGTGCTGTGTCCATCACAAGTACCCTTATGACCTTTCAGACTTACCGCTAAGCCACTTGGGTGAGAGATTGTTTGTTTATTTTTGAATTTTGCGCAAAGCTACAC